TGCACTCCCGAGCTCTGCCTCTCATACCAGCACTGCCGTTGAGTGCATTTCTGAGCTGCTTTAATAAGTCACTATTCTTTCCTCTGCTGAAGTAGCAAGGAAGCCACAAGCACACGTCCATCACATCAGAGGGCCTGGGGGTCCCTTTGCCTAACTTTGGGATAAGCTGGTGGTTTAAAGCTCGCTGTGATCAGGGGAGGGGATAGGAGGTGCGAGAGAGGCGCTTCCCATCAGCAGGGAAGGATGCCTGAGTGTGGATGCTTTGAACTGGGTGCAAGAGGTCCCCTGGGGCTGGGGGATGAGTCTCAATACCACGTCCAGTTATTTCACCCTTGATTTAATCTCGAATGCTTTATTTTTTTAACCTTGCATTCATGGCAAAGTGATTTCTCTCGGGGGTGGGGAGGGGCTTCTCTAGAAACGTTTGCATGATTCTCATTGTGATTTGTTTGCACTTTAGATGTTTTGTGCCATTATAAATTTGCATTATTGTATTTATAATTTAAAGATACTTAGAAGAGGGAGAGAGTTTGGGGTTTTTTGGGGTTGTTTTTTTTTTGCTGAGTACTGGAATAAACAGTGAGCATATCTGGTATATGTCATTATTTATTGTTTAAATTACATTTTTAAAGCTCAGTGTGTTCATATAAAGGTTATTTGAAACATATCATAGTAATGAGAAAGATGCAAGTTATTTTCTTTGCTTATTTTTATAATTAAAGATGCGTAACATAATGAGGCCTATGTTGGATTTTCTTCTGCGATGAAATAAAATGTCAAATTTAAGGGGTTTTGGTGTCTGACTCTTTCATTGGGCCTTGCTGGGATTGCTGGGGATGAGAACACCAACAGCATGTCGCTGCACTTACCTTTGACTGAGCATCGTGGCTTTTATGTCTCTTCTGGATGCTGAATGTCCTGGGTTTGGATCCTGGGGTTGTGGGTGGCATGAAGGCAGAGTTCATCACTTACAAGCTGCACAAGATAAGGGTGAGTGTGGAGTAAAGGATTCCTGATGTAGGTTTTCAGTATATAAACTACCATGCTGAGTATGACCGGAATAATACGTCTGGTCTGACCAGACCCTGGATCCTGTAACATCCAAGGGCAACTGGAAATCCCAGTGCTAACAAAGCTCCTGTGATGGGTCTTTGACAGCAGCCTGGCCATGTAACTGGTGTCGTCTTCACCCTGGACCCATTTGTTAATCAGTGCATCCATAACACCATTGCTTTGCTGTACATGGAAATGTGCGTTTGCACTTCATTCAGGAAATCTCTCATTTCCAATGGAACATCAAACCCAGTTTAACAATCACCAGGAAGACTGACAGCCTCATCCAGCCTCATTGCTCCCAAAGCTACTGCAAAGCTTAAATACCATTTCCCCCATCATGCTAGAGTGAGGCTTGTCCAAGAGAACCAATGAATAAATATCAGCAGCACAGCTGGGTTAAAATAAATCTCTGCTTCCTCTTAGGAATCTTTTTCACCAGAGGCTATTCAAACTTTCCTGTTATTGAAATCCATTTTAGTTGAAATGGAAGCTCATCCTAAGGCCCAATAAGTCACCAAAATCAGGATTTAGTATTCTTTGCAAGCGACTAAGCTGCTGTGGTTCACAGCAGTGGGAATGGATGTGCCTTTCCAAGTGGCTTAGGAAAGGATCTCACCCTCTGCCTTCTTCATTTGCTTTTCCATGAAGAGGAATCTCCAAATCACTTGTGGAACATGCGCCTCCCCCCACCTAACTGTAAATCCCTGCCTGCTAAATAACACCCCCACTTCCCAGGAGCCAAAGCAGCAAAGGGAAGAGGGGAATGCCACAAGACTTTAGGGATACCCATTGCTAGAACCAAAGGCAGGGAACGCTGCTGCTCTTGGATAGAGAATACTTGGGAAGAGTACAGAGGCCACGGCACCAAAAGCTGGCATCCACAGCTCTCCTGTATTGAATAACAGTTATAAAATAATTACTATATATATATGATATCTATATAGTGTATATATACTATAATATATATAATATATACTGTACTATATCGATAGTACATAATGTAAATAATTATATGTACTATAGTACATATAAATACTGTACTATATATAATATATATGGTATATACACTATAATATATATAATTTATATATACTATATTAATAGTACATAATGTAAATAATTCTATGTACTATAAATAGTACCTATAAATAATTACTGCACTAATGCAATGTACTATTCAGATGGACTCTTCATCAATCTCAGTGTGCACCGCTGCCTCCTCAGCAAGCCACCTCCATTCCTGGAGGAGGTGAGGCTTTTGCCAGCCCAATGCACAGAGTCACACAGAAACGCAGGGGTTTCCTGAGCCATTTCACACACCAAATTCAGTTTGAAAACCTGCTCGTTCTGGGCTGGGTTTTGTTCTTTGTCCCCCGAGTGCTAAAACTGAACCCCCAAAATGAAAGGAGTAAACTGCCATGAGAACTCTTCAGCATGGCTCAAAGCAAGATCACCTGCAGCAGCCTAATACAGGTTTGCCTTTCTCCTCCCTAATTCAGGACCCACCTTGTGGTGGGGATTATGCATCCTATGGGTTAAAATGTTTGCGATTCATTGACATAGCTTATAAAGCAGGCAGCATGAGTCAAGGGCAGGTGTTTAAACTGAACAGAGGTGTTCATCAGGAGGTTATTTGTCATTATTTTAGTGCTCTTCTCCTTCTTCTTCTCCTTCTACTCCTCCTTCTTCTCCTTCTTCTCCTCCTTCTTCTCCTTATTATTACTGGCAATGTCAGGATACGTTTGTCCCTCGTGTCCCCCATCTCAACCCCATTTCTGAAGTGCAACACCTTCTCAAGGGTTAATGGAAGCAGGGCTTTGCTCTCAAGGCCCTGGCAGCAGCAGGGCTCTCCTCAGACCTGCCACCACAGTGAAAGGACTGCGCACAAGACAGCCCCCAAAAAGGAAATCTCAGCTCAGTGGCATCAGAGTGCATTAAGGTCCTGGTTATCATCTGCAGCTGGAGCGAAGAGCCCGGAGTTAATGTGATTTGGCCAAAGCCCAGTGTCCGTGATTGACCGATGTTCTTGTCTTGGCCTTTTTCTTTTCTTTCCAAAGTTTCATTACAAAACAAGGGGAAAATCATTCCAGCTTTTCCTGGTCCTCACCCTTCCTGCTTGCTCTGCTTGGAGCAAGAGGAGAGAAAGAGCAGGAGCAGGAGAGGAGGAGTGTGAGCCTTGGTCTCTTCCAATGACACTGGGCAAAATGGGAGTGAGATTTGGGAAAAGGCTTCGCTTCCTGCCTCCTGTGAGCTGAGACAAATAAAAAGCAGAAAATAACCCCTTCCACAGTATAATAAAGGACATTGTCTTTGCCGTCATGATTCAGCCGCTACAACCGGGAATATAAAAGGAGCTTAAATAATAAGTAGGATGCTAAAAATACAATCAAAGTACAAATTGACTCCACAGTGGCCGTTCCCATCACACGAGATGCAAAAGGAAAAGGCAGAAGTCCAAATGGATGCAGATTTTGCCACGTTATGAACCAGGATCTCTCAGTCACAGGACACCGGGTGATGTGAATGCAATTGAGATCTTTCTATAGCTCAGTGTAAAGCAATGGCAAAGATCATATTGATGGATTTGGGGATATAACACTGCTTCAAATCACTATTGAATGACTGCAAATCACTTCAGAGGGTAACACAGCTTCTAATAGTGCCAGGGCAAGGGGGAACGGCTTTAACCTGCCAGAGGGGAGATAGAGATGAGATCTGGGGATTCCATGAAATCCCTCTTCCCAAGGCCTGACCAGAGGGAGGGATACTCAGTGGGTGCATAGAGCTTACAGCCAATCTTGTTCAGCAGCACAGGCACCCACCAGGATGACTTGCTCTCAATACATCCACATTTCCCAAGGAAACGGCTCCTCCTCACCCCCTTGGCAGCAGACAAACCTGTATTTCCAAAGGCTCCTTTCCTCCTCTGAACAGCCAAGTCAGGTGGGAGAGATAAAGTCAGGTAATTCCTGCTCCAACCCCCCCTTATCACAGCGATGGGGAGGGATCTGGGCAGCAGCAGCTGGAGAACCTTAGGCACAAAATACCTGTGAGAGAGATGAGAGGTTTACCCCAAAGAACAGCAGGAAAAACAAGTCCAACCTGTAGGAGCTCCTGGGAGGAGGAATGTCGTTATTTTTCACACAGATGCCCTGTTTTCCTCCTTTATTCCTCTAGTTTCTATAGCTTGTAGCCACAACGGATGATCCCTGTCACCTGCACCTCCCCTATTCCCCCTCCAGCCTTCCCCCCGGCTGGGATGGATGCTGCAGGTCCAGGTCCGAATGGTTATTTAAAGAGCAAACAATTATTTCATGGAAACTGCGTTCCCTGTATTCCCAAGCGGGGAGAGAATTCCAGTTGGGTGCCTTTGGATTTCCTTCAGGGCTCTTTTTCAGCTGCAGGCTTGGAAGGGTTTGCGCTGCGAAAACAAATCCCGGCGCTTCTCTCCATGTGCTGTTTGGCTTGGAGTAATCAACCAGGCTCAATAACACCACCAGCCGTCCCCAGCCAGCCATGCCGAGCCCAGGCATGGAATTCTGACAGCCCGGACCAGCAGAAAGAGCCCAGCCATTTGGTTTTATTGCCGGGCTGCTGATAATTAATCCTAGAAGGGGTTTTTTCAGGGCTTAAAAAAAGAACCTTTTTTCTCCCTGAGCTGATGTTTGCTTAACAGTTTCACATGTGGTTCTTAGCATCACTTCTATTTGCTGGCCATGATTTGCATGGGAAGGAGGTGTCCGGCTGGGGGGGGGGGGTTCAAGTTCACATGTGTGGCTCATTATCTGCAAAAAGGTCCCTTTCATCTAATCCTCAGCACCCCTTTATTCCTCCAGTGAGGAGCGCGACTGCCATGGGATAGACTGACATAAAACCTTTCAATATGAAGTGAATCTGAACGAGAGGAGCGTACGCGTGTTCCCTTGGGGCTCTCACTCCTGTCCATGAGCATCGCTCATCTCCGCGCCCTCGCCACCGTCCCCTTCACGCAGGCCAGGCAGGACAAGGCAAATCTTTCCTTCCCCTGTCCTCAGGAAGAAGGAAGGAGGAGGCCGGGAGTCCCGGAAGCGTGCGTGACCGGCGAGAGAGCCCCAACGACGCACGAGCGCCTTCCTCCTCGTCACTCACGCAGGGACGGGCACCCGAGCCCCGCTGACACCGCTGCAGCCCCGAGCCATGGGGCTGGGGCAGGCAGATGCTTTATCTCTGCATCAGAGGAAAGGGCTCCGGGCAGATCCACCCATGGGGTCCCTGGGGAGATGCACCAGCCCCAGAGCTGGGTTCCCAGGTCAGGGAGCAAACTTCCCTTAAGGATGGGGAGTGGTACGTTCTGGTTGAAAGAATGAGCTTACCAGAAGGACAATGTTGGTTTTTCCTCCGGCGTGCTCTGCTCCCAGCATTGTGCCGCTGTATCCCTCCTAGGGGTGGATTCGGAGTTCACGGAGCCCATCGTTAGTCACTAATCAGAGTCAAGCACCAAGGACCTTTTCCTTGAAGCCTTGGGGCCCCCAGTGCTGGGGCTGGGGGGGAACAGCATCCAGAGGAATTTCCCACAAGTACCCAGGATTTTCCCTGCATCCCATTTTGGGGCTGCTCCAGACACTGAGCCAAAGCTCACAGGTATTTGGCAGGGCTGAAAATCAGATCCACACTGACCAGGACAATCCCAGCCCCACACATCAGCCTTTCCTTATCTTGGTGGTCCACAGCTACCACCCACAGCCCTCCTCCATCTCCCAGAACTTAAAGGTTTCATCTGCCATCAAAATAGCAAATAACCCTCTGTAGGATACTCAGACTGCCAGACAAAGCTCATCGGTCGCCATAGAAAGAGCAAAATCTCCTCTATAACCTCCATTTCCAGCAGTTTGCTAAGCAGACACCAACCAAAAGGCCACTGGGACCCGCATGCATCCCACTTGTGTGGCTGGGCTTGGGCAAGAGGCACGTTAGCGTTTTGAGCATCCTCTAATATTCAGGTGATGGGCTCAATAGGAATGAATGAATGAGTGAATGAAACAGTGGCTTTCTAAATGACACGTGTGCTCACAGAGGCCTGGTGTGCTCTGGCTGCTTCTCATGCAGGTGGCAGCTCCTTACCAAGCCTGGAAATGATGATTAAACACAGGAATAAGTCACTTGCACACCATGTTCATCACCCCAAGTGCCATAAAAGAAGTGAGCCGATGGTCCCAGCTCACTGCCGCATTCAACAGGCAGAGATTTGAGCTCCCAAATGATCCTGCTCGCCCCTGGGATAAGTCTGAGCCAAACTAAGGATGGATTTGGTTTAAGCAACAGCAAGGAAGAAAATGTGGAGATGCTCTCTTCCAGCGAGGCAAAGCTGAAGCTTGGTGCTAATCCCCACCAAACCCCATCCTGCCTGCACCAGCATCACTCCAGAGGATTCCTCATGCTCCAGGGCTGTCAGGAAGAGATTAGGAAAGCAAAGGAAATAAAAGCAAGTCAAAGGGTTCTGATCCCGCTCAACCTCTTCCCCCCCCACAAGAACTGATGACGGAGAGCGGGATTATCCAGGGTCCCCTTTGGAGCCCTGCTTGCATCAAAGGACGGCACCTGAAAACAGGGAATCGCCTCGATTCCAGCCTGGATTCAAGGCAGAGCGGAGCAGGGGCTGGTGTGGGGCAGAGCCTCACGTCTGTGGTTTGTTCAGCCACTGATGCCCCATCACAGCCGCATTGAACCCTCCAGCACAGACCCAAAGCAGAAAGCCCCATCCCAGAGCACTCAGGCCACCAAAGGGCTGGGTTCTCCAAACCACCCCCCAAAAGCCAAGGGGATTCTTTGCCTTCCTCCCCTCTCTCCTCCTCCCAGGAGGCTCCGATGTGTTTTCAGCTGGTTTGGCTGCCCTTGGAGCCAGCGCTCAGCCCCAAGTCACTCCCCCCCCTGCACCTCCAGCTCCCATTTATGCTGGCAGAGCTCTAAAGATAGATCCCAGTGAAGATTATCAGCCCAGCAGTATTAATAGGAGGCAGCTGCTCTCTAAAGAGGCTTTTAAATGATGGAAAGAAACTTTGCTGTATTTTTAAAAGCCTTTTAAGTGAACCAAGCAACCCCTCTCCTTCCCCTGCACCCCCAAACCCATGCGCACAGCACCCTGAAGGGTCCCATTTTGTCACCCTGCTTGCTCAGAACCATGGTTTGTGTTGGATAAGACCTTAAGATCATCTGGTCCCAACCCGCTGCTGCCTGAGAGGGGCTGGGTTACAGGCTCCATCCCTGCTTCACCCAAAGGGAGGCTTTGTGGAGCAGGGAAGGGGTCCCACGGATCAGGGGGGTCATACTCAAGGTCTTCCCTGCAGCTCTGCAGTGGGGCCATGCATATGGCATGGTCACGAGCCCTGTGACCAGGAGATGCTGTCCTGCCGCCGTGTCTGAAGCTCTTTGAATGGCACGAAGGGAAATAACCCAAGAGCTTGCTCTTTCCTCCAGCCAGCGCCATTCTTCAGCCAACAGAATGGCTCCTGAGCGCAACAGCAGCCCGGGAAGAGCGTGAAAGTCCAAACATGCCTATTGTGAAACTCAGGGCTGCAGAAACCAGCTGCAGCTGCCGATGGCCACATCTGGATGCTGCAGCATGGCACAGGCAGAACGCGCCCGGAGGCTGCAGCCAGTGGCTGGAGGCAGCATCTCCCCCCTGTTTGCTGGGAGCAGGAGGAGGATGCTCTGGGTACCCCCGGCCATGGGCTGTGTGCTCCCTGTAACCTCATCTCTCTGTTAACCAGAGGGAAACCTCAGCTGTGCTGCTCAGCCTGAAAATGAAGCCTTCCAACATAGAGCAGGCTCCTGCTCAACACTGCTGAGGGCTTTCTGAGCCAAAAGGGGAGCAAATACCCTCTAAATCCTTGTATGAAACCAGTGAGTGCCCCTATCACATCCAGCATGGAAGGGCCTGGGGTTTGGCTGGAGCAGGCAGCAGGCAATGCAGCAGGGCACCACTGTGCTGCCTGCTGGCCCTGAGATGATGCTCATGCCCTGGGGCAGCAGATGCCTGTGGTGTTAGAAATAGATCCCTGCGGCACGCTGTTAGCTTTAAAGGCCAAACCAGGGCAAAATTCATTGCTGTGATGTGAAAATAGATGAGGGCAAATTGGAGGGCAATAAATGGTGCTCCCTGTGGGAACAGAGGCAGCAAGGCCAGATGGGTGCAAACACCCAGCACAAGAGGGATGTGGAGCTCTCGGACTGAAGCCACAGAGATGCTGCGAGGGCTGGAGCCAGGCTGAGAGAGCTGGGCTGGTTCAGCCTGGGGAAGAGAAGGCTCCTGAAGGGGAGACCTTAGAGCAGCTCCAGTGCCTAAAGGGACTGCAGGAAACCTGGAGAGGGGCTTTGGGATATAGGGGACATAGGGACAGGCCAAGGGGAATGGCTTTAACCTGCCCAAGGGGAGACTGGGATGAGCAACTCCAACCCAAACCCGTCTGTGATTCTGTGTCCTTTCCCAGTGCAAGAAGCAGGACGTGGCTGGAAGAGGGGGACACGGTCCCTAGGCTCTAAAGAGACTCTCCCAGCCATCAGGCCAAGACCCATGGAGGAGTTTCTGACCCTCAGGGAGCACAATCCACACACTCGGGTTTTAAGGAGGCTCTTCCTTTTGGCAGCCTTGGAGTTGGAAGCGGAAAGTTACCGCGCTGGCCCTCGGAGCCGATGCCTGCATCATTCATCACGGTGTTTTATGTCCCTCTTTTAAATCACATCCCAAAGAGGACACCACAAGCACGAGCACCAAACGGGCTGCTGGGCTTGACCTCCCCTTGCTTCAGCACGTATCCGGCTCCAGCTCAGGAAGTTGCTCACAGCCAGTTTATATGTTTTAAGGGTGGGTAGATTGACAAATAGGAAATCTATGACATGTAATAGCTGATAAAGGATGATGCATTTCCCCCTGCCCTGTGAATTATTTGAGGCTGTGTTTTAGTTCGGTGTTATCATGCCTGGGATTTTGGCCTGTGGCAATCGCAGATGACATCAGAGAGAATGAAAATTAAGCAATTCTCCTTATTTTAGGAGCTTGTTTAGTCCAGATATTTTAAGTTACTTTTTTGGACCCGTATCCAAGGGATCTTGCTGCCATCTAAATAAATATCTCCCTTTAGGGAGGCAAAAACAACCCCAAACCCAAGCCCAGCAGATGTGGCGAGCCCTGACGGTTGTTCCAAAGCAGAAAGCAAAGCGATTGCCAGGCCCCATCCACCCACTTAACCCAGCCTGTCAAAACCAATAATAAAGAACACTTGAGCAGCACTTGATGCTTGCAAAGCACGGGGCAGCGATGGGGACACAGCAGGAGGAGGAACCCTCACAGCAGGAGGAGCGAGGTGGTGGGGCAGGGTTTGACACCCCGCTTTACACCACTGGAAGGCAGGAGGGTGCATCCCTGCAATGCACACTGAGCATCACAGAGGCCCAGACCCAGTGCCCCCTTCCCAAGGATTGTTTGCATCCCAAACACACCGTGTGTTTCCCATCCCAGCTCATCCCTATTTCCCTTGCCAGAGAACCACAGAACAGAGCAGTTTGGGTTGGGAGGGACCTTCAAAGGTCACCTCCTTCAACCTCCTTGCAATGACCATAGCCAGTTTGGGTTTGGCTGCCACCAAAAGCCCCTCAGTGCCCTGCTCCTGGGGCTAAATAAACCCCAGCTCCCTCCTGAAGAACCCATCCTGCCGCCTGGGTAGAGGATACAGTTATGGGAAGCCCGAGGAGGAGTTTGGGATGCTCCAAAGCTGCTGGTGGGAGAGCAAACCGCCCTGCTGGACCCCCTGGGTGCTGCGGAGGGTGCTGAAGGGCTCCGTGCCTCCCGCTCTGCCCTCGTTCAGCGCATTGCAGGGTGATGCTCTCTGTTCTCCCGTTTCTTTCTCCGCTCCCGGCCCAAGGAGCTCAGCCACGGCTCTTGTGCCATCTGCTGACCAAAGGCTGCTGGCTCCATGGCCCCAAAACCAGCACCCGCTGTGCCTCCCTGCATCCATCCTCACCCCTCCGGCAGCCCTAGGTTCGGTTCTATGATGCAGAATGTCCGGGTATAGAATCCTTTACATTGCAAAAGACCTTGGGATCATCACGGACAGCCGTAAATCCAACACTGCCAAGTCCAAGTGCTGGGATGAGGCAGCTCAGAGGCTGCAGACCCTCCATGGGGAGACTGCTTGTGCTCCTCAGCCCAGACACTGCCACGGGCCACGGCCATCATAGAGCCCCAGCCTGGCTCGGGTTGGAAGAGACCTCAAAGCTCATCCAGTTCTGCCCCAGGCAGGGACCCCTTCCACTGGAGCAGCTTGCTCCAAGCCCCTGTGTCCAACCTGGCCTTGAGCACTGCCAGGGATGGGGCAGCCACAGCTTCTCTGGGCACCCTGTGCCAGCGCCTCAGCACCCTCACAATGAAGAACTTCTTCCTTATATGCAGCCTAAGTCTCCCCTGTTCCAGTCTGATCCCATTCCCCCTTGTCCTGTCACCACACCCCCCATCACCCAGCAGAGCCTTGCACACCAATGCCATGACACACACAGATGCAGGGACACATCACCCTGTTGCGACCCTGCGGACCACACACTTCCCCATGGAAAACCACGGGGGAAGGAGCCGGCAGCCCCGGCAGCTTGATGCAGGATGCTCCCGGCAGCTTGATGCAGGATGCTCCCATCAGCTTGATGCAGGATGCTCCCGGCAGCTTGATGCAGGATGCTCCCTGCAGCTGTCTCCTTACAAGTGACAGCCACGTAGCAGGGATGCGCTGCTGGGAGCTCGGCTTTGCTCCCTCTGGGGAACACTGAATTATTCATGATGCTTCGCCAGAATAACACCGTTAAAAATAGCTCCTCTGCTCAAAAGACGGCGAGAGCCCTTTCACACCCGCCGCTATTTTCGTCTCCCGAGCGTGACACAGCAAACCCCGAACCTCAGCGGCTCCCCCCCGTCCCCAGCTCTGACCCGCTCCTCTCTAACTGCGGGTGGAGGAGCAGGGGGGGTTATTCCCTCCCCCTGTTGGTGCTCGGCTCTCGTTCGGGGAAGCTGCACATCTCCAGTGTCCAAGCAGAGGGCACTGCTGCCCCGTGATTTGAGCAAGGGCCCTGGCGCACGGGCTTGGGTTAAATCCATCCTGAAACCTCTCCCACCAGGAGATGGGACCTTAAAGCTCATCCAGTTCCAACCGGGCCTAAGAGCTCAGCTCAGTCTCCGCTCTGGCAGGTTAAAGCCATTCCCCTTGGCCTGTCCCTATATCCCTTATATCCCAAAGCCCCTCTCCAGGTTTCCTGCAGCCCCTTCAGGCACTGGAGCTGCTCTAAGCTCTCCCCTTCAGGAGCCTTCTCTTCTCCAGGCTGCCCCAGCCCAGCTCTCTCAGCCTGGTTGCAGGGCAGAGCTGCTCCAGCCCTCGCAGCATCCCCATGGCCTCGCTCCAGCAGCTCCATCGAACCCTGGGCAAACCCTGCCTCATCTCAAAAGGACAAGAACCGGTTAAAACAGAGGCTAAAGGGAGATGCACGCAAGGCAGGAGGTCACAGCCTGCCCCAGTTTCAGGGGCCTGGTCCCATTAAGATGCCCTTCAGCCCTGCCCGCACCCAGTGCCTGCCTCTGCCCACACAGCGCGATGTGGCCTTCACCCAGAGCAGCAAGAGCTTCCCTGTGAATACTTGTTAAAGTGTCAGGGTTATTTTTACCCGGGGACTGGGGAAAGCAGCGCATTTTTGTGTGCTTCTTTCCCAATGGTGTTTATTAGAAAGCCTCCAGAGGGAATCTGCTTTCCCTCAGCCCGTCCGCTGCCATCACTTCCATTCTCTCTGCTTCTCGCTTCATTTCGCTGATGGAAAAGGACAGAAAGAAGCTGGGAAAAAGAAGAGGATCTCAAAAACCCTTTTAGGTTGAGTTTCAAAGCATTCACAAATTCCTTAGAGCTGCCTCTACACACACTGTGCTCGCAACCCCCATGCATCCACCTCCTCCGTTATTCCCTTCCTTCGCATGAGTCAGTATTCCCATTATCCCCTCACCCTGAGCACTTTCCAAGCAGCACCTCCCGGCAGGCAGCGTCGGGTTTCCCGGGTTTCGGATGCTCCCCCGACATCGCGTTGGGATCCTGATGCATCCCAGCGATAGCTGCCAGAAATCAGATACTTTGGGAGCTGCACTTGCGCTGCTGCCATAGAAATCCTCCCGTTTAAACACCCGGCAGTGGCTGGAGGCAGCGTTCTCCTGGTTTCACCTAACCCAGTTAAAGAGAGGAGTAATGTCCCTGGGGAGCGGTAATAGCATCAACGGCCCAATACAAGAGATGATTTATGATGGATCCTCTCAGGCTTCTTCCCAGAAATCCCCCAGGGGCCTCTCGCTGCCAAAATGCTGTGGCTGAGAGCTCTGCTCCATCCCTGGCACCAAGGGAAGGGCCCGAGGCCCTTTGGATGCCCATGCATTGGGAAAGCAGTGGGGAAGCTCCCAGGCATGGGGCAGGGAGCAGGGATGGGGCTGGGTGAGCTCAGTAGCAGGTTTGGGTAGGGGAGCCCCTGCAGCAATGAGTGACAAACCTCACCCAAGGGAGGGAGGGCTGGATGCGACCCATGGGGACACAGAGATGGGGGGCACTAATCCTGCCCCACTGCTGCGTTAAGCTCCGTTTCCCTTCACTCTCCCCTGACTCAACCCACCCAGCGCTCATCTCTCCACAGGTCCTGAAAGCCAAACTCCAGCCTCTCCATTAATCTCAGCCACTCCGAGTCATTAGGGGCGGATAAAGCTACTTACCCCAATCCCTTCCTGCCCGTCTCGATCCCAGCCAAGCATTTTACCTTGGCGCCGGCTGCCTCCCGCCATCAACAAGCCAAGGTGTAATGTTACTGTCTGTTTGCTCTCGCCTTTTGGTGGTTTGAGGCTCAAACAAGCCCTTTAAACCTGGCCATGAATCCAGCTGGGGACTGGGAAGGGGCTTTGGGAACAGGGCGCAGGCTTGGACTTGGAGAATGGGTCTGCAGGATCTAACCTGGTCCATAGGGACCGTGGCAAAGGGCTGCGGGGAGCACACAGCCACTATGGAGGCTCCTGCCCAAGGGGCTTGGGCTGGTTGAAGTGAGCTGCAGCGGTGTTGTTCCTGTATGGGATTAGAAATGGGGGATCTGGGAAGGAAGAGCTCCTAAAAAGGCAAAAATAAGGATACTCCGGGTGTCCTTTCAGCATCCTTTACCTACCAAGGGTAAAGAGGGCAGGATCAGGCCTGCAGCAAGGAGCAGCACGACTTGAAGCCATCCCAGAGCAGAGCAAGTGCTCTCCAGGGGGAAAGCCTGAAGGAAACCACTTGAGCAGAGTCTGGGCTTTATCCCTGCCAAAGGGATTTAGCAGATGTTAAAGGGGGCTGTGCATCCACACACACTGCCAACCCCTCCTGGGGAACGGGAGCTCCTATGATATATCCATCCTAATGCCTAATTTCCACTGGAGATGCAGGCACCGTGTGCAGGGATGTTCCATGGGCATGAGCAGAGCTAAAACCACAGAGAGGGGCTGGGAACGCGCCTGTGCATTACCCAGCAACCGACCTGTGAGCACTTCTCTCCCCAAGCCACCGTATTCATTCCCCCTCCCGTCCCAGCCCCTCTCTTCCTTGCCTGGTTTATTTATTCAGCCTCCCCTCGCAGCCCAGTTTGGCTGTTTCGGTGCTGCAGCAGATACCAACTGCACCCAGACAAAAAGCCAGCTCGGCCCTGTCAGGGCTATCAGCAAACACCAGCACCAGGAATTTTAATTGACGTAGCCGCTCACTGGGCTCCGATAAGACCCAGCATCACCCCACGGCCGGAGGGGTCCACCCTGCTCCCCAAACCCATTTGGGGGGCCCTAACCCCACTCCATGCCCTGCTGGGGGTCTGCTACTGCCCAAGGCAGCGCTGGGAGAGACTGGGGTGGAAGTGGTGGCTCCCACAGCATCCCCCCCCCTTCTCCCTGGCCTGCAGGAGCTTGGTGGTCTTCTCCCCTTATCAGCCCTTATCTCCCGAAGCCGCTCGCTAATGTGACCTTAATGGAGCTAAAATCGACCTGATTTGGTTTATTGCTGTTTAGCCCAAATCCCCCCCCCCACCCGCGACGGAGGGGCCAGGGGTGGCGCTTGGCCCTGCGGCTACGGGAGGGTCAGAGCCGGGCAGTGGGGCCCGGAGCGCAGACGGACGGCCCCGAAGGGCCCCCGCCGGCCGCGGGGATGCTGCGCACCCCCTTCTCGGTGAAGGACATCCTCAACCTGGAGCGGACGGACACGGCCGGGGCGGCCCTCGGCCCCCGCAGCCCCGGCGGGGAGGAAGAGCCGCAGAGTAAGTGACCGGGGGGGCCGGGGAGGCCGAGGGGGCCGGGGGGTGCCCTATGGAGCCGCTTTCGTTGCCCCGGGGTGGAAAACCGAGGGCAGCGGAGCCGCCCGTTGCATCTTCGCACCCTACAGGCATGGTCCCGCTGGAGCCGGGGTTCCCCGCCACGGGCAGTGGGGAGTTTCCTCCTTTCCCCCTCTCTTTTTCTCTTTGCTCACTTTTTTTCCTCTTTCCCCCCATTTTTTCCTCTTTTCCCCCATTTTTTCCTCTTTTCCCCCAGGGTTTAGGGGGTTTTGGGGTTGTTGGCGGCGTTTTCCGGCAGCCCAGCAAGCACCCCGCGCATCCCTCCCCGTGCGCCCTCGGGGAAACGAAACGGCCGCCGGCGGGGGGAAAAGATGGATGGGGATGGGGGGGTTCTGCCGAAAACCCCAAATCGCCGCCGTTTCCGATGACACAGCCCCCCCCCCCCCCCCCCATCCACGCTCCAGCTGGGGACGGGGACCAACGACCCAAGGGAAAATGAGGGGATGCGGCTCCGGGGCGGCCGCAAATAGGAGATCGGACCGGGTCCATACCTGCCCTCCAGCATCCCGGTTCCCAGCAGTGTCCCCCCACACACATCCCCTGGCCCCTACTGTGGCTGCCGGGGACCGAGGGCATCCAGGGCAGGATGCACAGGACCCGTGGTTACCTCACCTACAACACAAACCCCAGCAGGTTAAAACAGTCCCAGATAACTCCTTCACGTCTTTGCTCAGGTCTGACGTTTTCCCCTCCTTCATTCCCAGCCCTTTTCCTTTTTTCGGGGTTTGCTTCCATTCGGGATTCTCCTTTCCTTTGGTGCTGCAGGTAAATCCTGCCGGAGATCTGACTCCTGTCCCTTCCTTTGCTCCATCTGACTCCTGTCGCTTCCATTGCTCTGGAGCAGGATGGTGGGAAGGGGATTTGCCTTTTGGAGTACTCAAACCTGCGGGTACCCCACTTCCCTGTGCTCCTCCGGGCTGGGGCTGCCACAGCAACAAGCATGGTTAGGAAGGACCGAAAGGCAGCATTATCCAAAATCCATGTAACAGCCTAATTCCATCCCAAAACAGGGGGAATTGTTGTGAATTCCCATTAAATACCACAGGAAAGTTGATCTGAAACTTATCAGCTCTCAGCCCTACTTCATCTTATTCCCACGGGGCCCCATTCCCGGTTCAATCCCTCCTTCGGAAACACTCCTCAGGCACAGAGCCAGGCTCGGGTCTCACTTGGGGTTTCCCTTGCTGCAGGACAACGCTCGCTGGCCCCCCCTCTGCAGGCAGGGGAGCAGAGCGGTGACCCCCGCCAGCACCCCAAGCAGCGGCAGCGGAGGAAGCCCCGGGTTCTGTTCTCACAGGCGCAGGTCTCGGAGCTGGAGCGGCAATTCAAGCACCGCAGATACCTCTCAGCTCCCGAGAGGGAGCATCTGGCCCGCGCGCTCAAGCTCACCTCCACCCAGGTGAAGATCTGGTTCCAGAACCGCAGGTACAAGTGCAAAAGGCAAAGGCAGGATAAGTCCCTGGAGCTGGCCGCCCACCCGCTGCCTGCCCGCAGGGTGGCAGTGCCCGTGGTGCTGGTCAGGGATGGCAAACCCTGCCTTGGGGGGTCCCAGCCTTACCCGGCCCCGTACAGCCCCGGCCCTTACTGCTACAGCTCCTACTACAGTGCCTATAGCAGCAGCCCCTATGGTGGGAGCTATGGGGGGGGCTACGCTGCGGTGCCCCCCAGTGCCACCCCCAGCAGCCACACTGTGAATGGGAGCTTGGGCATGGCTCAGCACCAGCCCCTGTGCTTGCAAGCCACAGGGCAAGCGGGAATCAGGGCTTGGTAGGTGAGGGCTGATTGGGAAGCACCGAGGAAAACCCCACTGCGCTCCAGAGCCCAGCCTGCCTCCGGATGGGAGCCGGATCCAGAGGTGTCTGACCCCGGACAGTGGGATGAACCCAGGACATCCATCCCATGTCTGCAAAGGCAGGGCGGGAGAGAGGGGCACCCAGGGACTCAGGGTGTTTATTTATTCAGTGCTTTGGAGTCTGCTCCTTCCTGCTCCCAGGGGATTTGCTCCTCCAGCTGCCAGCACGGGACATGAACACTGGATTGCTTCCTAAGGACAACGGGAATACAGGGTCTGTGCGCATCGCTGTTCTATGGACACTGTTGGAGCTCCTCTGCTCTTCTGAGATGCGGTTTTGATCGATCAATATTTCCTAATATCTTGGGTGTTTATTTTGGTCTTTACTACCATTATTTGCAAATAAAACCCCCAGAATGGTGAGATGCTTTCAGTCTCTTTGCAGCAAAACCTGACCCAAAGCAAAACCAAACACACAACCCCCAAATCAACCAATACCAGTAATTAGACCAGAAAGGTAATCACCTTGTGCTCCAAGCATGGCCTGCGTCAGGGAATCCCAGCCTGGTTTGGGTTGAAGGGATCTCCAGCTCCAACCCCTGCCTTGCACAGGGACACCTTCCACTAGAGCAGGTTGCCCCAAGCCCCATCCAACCTGGCCTCGAGCACTGCCAGCTGAACAAGCCCAGCTCTCTCAGCATCTTTGCGGCCTCCTCTGCATCCGTTGCAGGTGAGCATCCCTCCAAGGCAGCAACGCTGCTCCCCCCTCCTCTCACCCAAACCCCACCTTGGAAGCATTTCGACCCCCAAAAGGATGAACTCACTTAAGCATCATCCACCATAAAAGCTCAGGGGGCAAAGGAGGAGGCTGAGGTTTGGCTGTGACCCCATGGATCCATGGGGAAGGGTGTCCTGAGCAAGGGGGAGAAGCAGGCAGCCAGGGAGCCGGTGGGAGCCAAGACACCAGGGAAGGGCGTAAGCTCCTGCCAGGGATCTCCAATCAGGCCCCGGAGGCTTGGCTGCCTGCCCTACAAATGCGGAGCGGGGAGGGTGGGAAGGCCGGGAGGCTCTGGGCAGGGAGAGGAAGAGGAGCAGGGGCACTGGGGTGGAGGCAGAGCAGGCAGCAGCAGCAGCAGCAGCAGCAGCAGCAGCAGCAGCAGCAGCAGCAGCGCCCTGGCAGGGATGAGCTGCACCCCAGCAGCAGCCCCGCACACGGCGCCCATCGCCTCCAGGCCCCGGACGTCCTTCCTCATCCAAGACATCCTCTGGGATGGGGCGGAACAGGGAGTGCAGCCGGAGAGGGGCAAGAGCAGAGGATTCAGCAGCCAGGACCGGGAGCCAGGGGCAGCGGCAGTGGAGGAGAGCAAGGGCAGCTCTGCAGGAGCATCCCAAGCCCCAGGGACACCCCAAGAGGCAGACCAAGGTAAGGAAGTGGAAGCTCCTGGCTGGGGAATGGATCCGCAATGGTTATGGTTGGGTCAAGGAGAACCCTCTGCAAGGGGCAGGATCCAGACCTGGCTGCTGGAGCCAAATGAGTTGTGCTTTAAATACCATGAGTACCTGTGCTCTAGGGGTGGGAAAGGAGGGGGAATAGCAGCAGTGTAATAGCAAACCTCTCATGGGGCGCTTCAAATAGCTCAAAGGGCTGAATCTGCCTAAAATGCCACTTCACAATGAAACCATTAATGCATTTCTGTGATTTCTTGGGAAATAAAGTTCTCTTCAATGTGCCTAGCAAAGGCACCGTGGGGCTGCCAGCCCAGAGGCAGCTTGTGCCCATCCTTGATGCCACCACAGCCAAGCTCATCGGTGCCTCTGGTCCTTTGAATGCCCCGTGTTGAGTTTGTGCTGTTTGAAGCCCTGATTTCACAGCCTGTACCCCCGTACCTGGTTTACTAACAGTACCCTGCTTCCCTTGCCACAGCATCCCTTCCTAGCGTATACCTCCCAAATTCCTTGCAGGAATAACGTTTCCCTGCAGAAGCCTCACACTGGAAACCATACCTGGGAGCAAATCTCTGTGCCTGTTGCCCCTTGTGCAGCGGGGGCTGCAGGAGGGGCTTGGCCTTTCCTTGCCCAAGCAGCCCTTGGGCTGAGCTGCACCAGCTCCGTTTTGAGCCCCAGTGACCGGCTCTCGCTTGCAGCACCAACCCTTGCCAGGGGAGGGTTGCCTTTAAGTTTCAGTGCTGGGAGAAGGGGTTTCTACATGAAAGCAAGCTCGGAAGCAGCCACCAGGCTGGGGCTGCTCAAAAGCATTGGAAGCTGCACCAGATCTCCCAGTAAGCTGCTGGTGTGAGCCTGGGCAGCCACAGGGATTTCAGTGGGGCAGCCGTGATTTACACCAGCTGGGAGTCGAGCATCCCGTGTTTCCATCCTGAGCACTGTGCTCCTGTCTTAGGGAGACAGACCAAGGAATAACTAAAGGGAAAAAACCCACCTGGCCTATTCCCATCCCAAGGTGGGGTTTACACGGAAAGGACCTCACTGCATGCGTAGACTTGAGAAGGTTTAACACTCCTATGGGATGCTTCCCAGGGAGAGCAGCGCCTTTGTGCCTCAGGTGCCATAAGAAGCAAGGCAAACACTGAGATGCTGCTTTGGGGCTGCAGTGCTGTGTGTAAAGCCAGGCCTCAAGGTTTAAAAGTCTGCCCCAAAATTTCTCACCATTGCCTTGGAACCATGAAAGCAAAGAGGGAGGGATTTGTTTCCCGTGCTTCCTCCCTGCAGCCTGCTCTAAGCTGCACTGATTTCCCATTTCTGGGCTGTGCTTTGTAACCTGAGGCCAGAACCTTGTTCTCTTTGGGGAATCGGGATTTTCCCATAGGCGTAGGAGGAGGTTTCAAACAAGTGCCTTCATAGTACAAATTCTGCAATGAGATCCTCCAGAGCTGTTGATGCCACGCTGTACATAACGATAGCACCCAGCAGACCCCCTCCACCACTGCAAACCAGCCCTTCAGCCCATTTGAGTCCCTTGAATGCATATTCCTATTGAATGGCAGGGATGGGGCAGCCACAGCTTCTCTGGGCACCCTGTGCCAGCGCCTCAGCACCCTCACAGGGAAGAGCTTCTGCCTAAGAGCTCATCTCCATCTCCCCTCTGGCAGGTTCAAGCCATTCCCCTTGTCCGAAGCCTCTCTCCAGGGACACCCATCACTATGTCACTCTCTGCAAGGGCAGCATCAAGTGACTGGGGCTCTTTCCAAGCCGCTCATTCCCATCTCTTTCCTCCCACAGACACCCCAGCGGAGCCCTGCCCGTCAGCCTGTGCCCCCCCGCTGCAGCCCATGGCCCCGTGTGCCCCCAAGCAGGCGAAGCGCTCGCGGGCAGCCTTTTCCCACAGCCAAGTCCTCGAACTGGAGAGGGAATTCAGGCACCAGCGGTACCTGTCTGCCCCCGAGCGAGCCCGCCTGGCCCGGGCCCTGCAGCTCACCGAGACCCAGGTGAAGATCTGGTTCCAGAACAGGAGGTACAAAACCAAGCGGAAGGAGGTGGCCTCCGGCATCCCCAGACTGGGCCCGCCGAAAGTGGCCGAGCTCCATGGAGCATCCCTGCTGGCGCTGCGGGGCGGATGGCACTACCTGCCCTGCCTCTACTACCTGAGCGCCTGGAGCCCTGGGTGGTAGCAGCGGCTTGCGAGCAGAAAGCAGCCTTTCCTCCTCTATGCAGTGGGGGTTTTAATCCTGCCTTGCTTTCCCTAGTGATAACTGAGACCCTGCACACAGCCATGATCAGCATCTAGGTGCCGCACAAGCCCCTCTTGTTGCCAACTGAAAAGAACCCAAGTGGAGCCCCAAAATCCCCCCTCAAGCTTTTAATTCAGCTCATTCAGCACTGTTACGAAGTGGAACTGCAGCTGTAAAACACTGCAGGCTTTTCGGGGAGGGCACGAATGGATGGCATCTCTGCCATTGATAGCATCATGGTTCATGGTCCCTGAAGGGACTTAGACCACCCAATACTCCCACAGTGATCAGGCAGCACCACAGGTAACGCAGGTGGCTTTTGGGGTGAACTAAACCCCTTTCTGCTATGAGGGACAAGAACCTGAAGTGCCTGATGGCCCCAGCTCACCCTGAGCAAACCCATCCCTCTGCCCCTGGATGCTGGGATGCCAACTGCAGCTGCCGGTGCCTTGAGAAGCCAAACCAGCCCCCTCGGGAACGCGGACAATAGCGCAATGACAGACGAGCTTTGCATATCCGGGTGCTGCTGCTGTTTGAACATTCCCCTATGAGCTATTTAGAATAGCAACGGCTCCAAGAGCTCGACGCTCCCATCAGCTTCCAAAGCAGCAAGCTCCCTGTTTGCCATTGAAATCAGCCCAAACCCCGCGTCAGGACATGGGGACAAGAGGATGAGACCTTTACAAGTGGGTTCTTAGTGAGACAATAATTTGCACTGGTAGAATAGCAAAGACTGGGGTTTTTTTGCACTTAAAACTTGAGATGTCACTAAATCCTTGGGAGAAAGCATAAAAATAAATGAGATTTCCAAGAGAAGAAACACATCAACTGCTTTTTCTCACCCGTGTTGATCAGCAAAGCTCTGCTGGAACACATAGAATACCCTGGGATAAAACAGAAGTAGAGGTTTCTTCCCTGTGGAGCACCAGGAATGTCCTTGTGGTGCCTGTTCTGACGGAGAATTCAGAATCACCTTGGTCCAACCCCCTCCTGCAGCAGGGAAATGGGGAATTAAACCAGAACCTGCTTAGATCTGTGCCTTTAAACCAGATTATTTGGAAGCTGAGCTTTTGCCTTGCCAATAGACTCGAATGGTGCAAGCTCACAAAGATGAAGCTGCTGGGGGATGCGGATGAGGGAGGACAGGGAGGGGAGAACGTGCAAACTGAAGCCCTTTGCAGCAGATACTCATGTGCTCTTGCTATCAAAGCCCTTGCTGGCTTTGGAGGACAACCAGTTGCTTTCTAATAGCCTGAAAGTAACCCTTAATATCTGGAGATAGCATTTCCCTTCCAGCTCCTGCTCTCAGATGCTGCGTGCCCCTGGTGCTCGAAGCAGACGTCTCCCCTGCACTGTTGCAATGTGTTTCAAACCCAGCCCTGCTGCTTATCCACTTTGCACTTTGCTTATCCACTGCTTGGAACAACAAAATAAAGCCCTTCTGGCCTCAAAGCCAAGCCCCAGCAGGGCACGGATTCCTCTCCAGGGGGAAAAGGCCCTGCCAAACCTCAGGATGCTGCTTAAATCAATGCAGAGACACTTAAAGTGAACCAAATGCACTGGATTAGCAGCTCTGAGCATCCCGGAGCTGCCCCTGAATAGGGATCCTGGTGCATCCTTTGCACAGGCAGCAGAAGAGCAGCAGGGATGGGCACATAACATTGGGAAGGACTGAATTGGGCTGGGAAAATCAGACCTAAAGTGAAAATTAGCTGTAAACTGAACATCTTGGATGCTTCTTTGGGAAGATGTGGTGTAGCTGCTTCTTTTCTCCCCACTGATGGTTTAGACCCAATAAATGCCCTTCTTGCTGCTTCAACACCCAACTGCTCGTAGTTAACCCCTGGCACAAAGCAAGGCCAGTGCAAATAGTTGCTATTTTTGTACATGTTTTTTGATACCATTTCATCCAATTTGTGTAGTCCTTTGGAATAAAGAGCTCGGAGTCTTTACTAAAAACCTGCTGCCTCTGTGGGGTTTTTGCCCTGGGTTTGGGGGTTCTTTTGAGCCTGTTTCTGGCCATGGGTGCCCCACCAGCTTCTCCCATGAGCAGCTCCTGCAGATGCTGCACCCAAGTGAGTTTTGTGCTGTGAATTGCCCCGAGCTCACAAGGTGGGCAATCACCATTCATCGCTGTTTGTAGCTGCTCCATCACTCATGCAGCCACGCATAGAGTGTCCGAGCATCCTCTAATCCCATTCACCATCTGACAAACACGAAACAGGGGATTACTCCCCAAAGCAAGAACTTCTATAGTGAAGTATCTTATTTATCACCCCAAAATTACCCGTCATCCCATAGTTTAAGCCTAATCCCGGTGGCCTCTGGAGTTTTGCACTACGAGCACTGCTGCCGGGTTTTATTTCTGCCCCTGCCTTCCCCTCCTGCAACCCCATCAGCACAATCAGGGCAGTGCTGGGCTCCGTAAGGGGAAGGATCCATCCTGGGAGCTGGCAGTGTGAATGTTTCCCCTCGTACAGGGGTGGAGAGGGACCAACCTTGGGCACACACTCCCTCCCTTCTGCTGTTGGCAGCAGCAGCTTGTCCCGAATGGAAAGCAAAGTGCAGTAACTACCATTGCCCCCAGCTTCAACAGCTTTACAAGGGAACAAATTGAAGCCAAAGCAAGCATTAAGATGGCAAAATGAGCAGGTTCTGGCTCAGACATTGGTGCTGGTTAGAGGCAGGGATGCTGGCAGCAGCTCCGGCTCCTTTGCAGCCTCTGCCATGGAGAAGCATCTTGGCTGTGTCCCCCCTGCAGCAAGCACTGCCCTCCCTCCTCTCCTTCCCAACCCTTCCCTCTACAACCCCCAAGTGCTTTCTTTATGGGCAGAAGATGGACTTCCAGTCGGGTTTTCCTTTCCTTGCCCAAGCACAAAGCACAAGGACAAAAAGGAAGGGCTGTGCCATTTGGATAATCAAAGCATCGGAGGGTGTTACAGCATTAATCACAGCGGGAATGACATGGGAGGCTTTCCCGCTGATAAATAGCCCCTTGATTCATAAAGGAAAGAAAAATCCCCCCCTTAACTATGGGGACTTGGAGTTTTAATGAGCCTTAACAAAGGAGAACTCCTGTTTGTACACAACTAGAAACAGAAAGCATCATTTAACGTCTGTCAATTAATGTCACGCTCCGCCGCTAACGCATCCATCAAGATTAAACAGCTTCTAATGCTGACATAACATTTACACTGCTTTGTGCCAACTCATTTATTTCAAGCTAGGGGGAAAAAAAAGGAAGAAAGAAAGGAGAAAGGCTGCCTTTGGATAATGTAACTGTTGACTAACATTTGCATGCAATAAACCACATACTTGGCATGGACTCGCAGGACTCAGGCCAAGAGAAATCTTCAACTTGACCTACACAACATTTGCAAAGCAGAGCAGTGGGAACAAGATTGCTACATGGAGCTAAGTAGGGGATGGAAAATGCAAGGACACTGCATCAGGCTGGTGGTTCCCCCTGCTTTTGCTATCGGTACAAAGATGCTTTGGAGGGAGGTGCAGAAAACCTTTCAGCAATGAGCACTGGGATGCACCTTTTGGGGTGCGTGGATGCTTCCCAAGGAAAGAGGCAAACTAAGCCATAAAGCACAAGGGTTTGGAGCTCTTAAAACCCTTGAGGACTTCCAGTATTTACTATTCTTATTGTAGAATATCCCCTTCTTTATGTAGATGCTTTATCCCCCTTCTTTATGTAGATGTTTTATCCCCTTCTAACCCAGGCAGAGCCTCTGTGGCAAGGCCATCCTATGACAGGGGGTCCCAAACCCCATTTTAAGCCACTGGACCACTTGGTTCTTCCTCTTGCTCCTTGAGCCATCCTGGCAGCAGCAGTGCCACAGGGGGGACAGGGAAAAGCTGAGTGGCAGAGTCCTCGAGGCAGATTCTCACCATGGTGGACAGGCAATGGGGAAAGAAAAGGGGGCAAAAAGAGTAAGAAGTTCTTTGGAGATGCAGCAAAACGCAGTTCCATCGATTGGCATCCCCATGGGAGACTGCTTTGCTGCTTCCCTCAAAAATCCAAGGCATGTTCCTCCTCCTTCTTCTGTTATGGTCTGAGCACTACTTGTTAAGAACAGCCAAAGGAGGAGAGAGATCCACAGCAAAGAGCCCTGGAAGTGCTTCCAAAGCCATCCGGCTGCAGGAGTTTATGGTGGGCCACTCACAGAAGGGAAAGTTGGGAGATGAGACAAGTATTTTACAGGAAAAGGAGTCGGGAGCGAGGCAAACAGGGGTGGGTTTGTGCTGAAGTGCTCGGGTCTTGGAGGCAAAAGGAAACAGGGCCAAGAAAAAGGCTTTTGAAGTCAGGTACTGGGTGTGTGAGCAGATGGATTCAGGCTCTATCCCCAGGGTAGGAAAGGGAAGGTGTCACCATGGTCACCTCACTACAGCCAAGGACCCCCCAGCAATGCCCATCCTGGAACAGGGATGGGGAAAGCCATGGAAGGAGCTGCAGCATCAGGGCTCTGCCTCCATCCCTGCGGCACGGGGGAGTTGCCGGCTATGGCAAGGAGAGCAAGGACATAAGGGAGGCTCTGGCTCCCACGGGACATTCTCACTGGATAGTGCCGGAGCTGGGGGGGGAATCTCTGCAGAGTCAGCAGGGGAGGATGCTCACAGCACCGTACTTGGTTTTCCCCTGTTCTTGCAGCATGGGGGTTTGGGTTTCCAAGGGCCACCAGCCAAGCGCGGTCTCCCCAGCTCTTCTCATCCAGAGCCTTTTGGGGCACCCAGATTCCTAGAAAAGCAAGTTTATTCCAGACTCCAGGTGGCATAACCTTGGAATCTCCCTTGGCCATCTACATCCCCATTGAGCCCCGACTCCTCCTGAACCTCCCAGCTTTTAAGGCCGACTTTCCAGCAGTTTGATTTTACACCCTCAGTGTTGAACAGTTTGCATTGCCCCCATCAGGGCAAAGGAGGAGAAGGGGCCCCATCCTGAGGAGCCCACGCTCCCCAGAGGAGGTAAACCCAGGGATGTCAGCAAAGCCTCCGTGGTACTTTTCCATGGCCCAGGAGGCAAACGGGGTCCTGCTCGCACCGCCCCAG